TTACTATGCAATTCACATAAAGACTCCGCTATGTTCCATTATTGTTTTTATTTTATTTCACTTTATCTTATTATATTCTAACATTCTATGTAGTCCACTATTTTGATAACATTTCTATTATCCTGTCTCCACCATATTATATTCACATATTCACATTTCCGAATGAACTTTATTTTCTGATCATCTATTTCACACTTGTCTTCCGCACTTTAGACTGACCTCTATTTATTTATTTATTCATTCGTATATCATGTCAAGTGATCCACAACGGAAAACTCAGCGAGGCGTTTGGAGTAAACACAGGAGTGAGACAAGGGTGCTTATTATTACCAATGATATTCCTAATTGTGGTGGATTGTATTATGTGTCAGACAGTGAGAAACGAGAAGACAGGGATATCCTGGACCGACGTGAAGAACCTAGAAGACCTGGATTTCGCAGATGATTTATGTTTGATGTCACACAAAATCGAAGACTTACAAGTGAAAACCGACAAACTGGTCGAATAGGCTGGCAGCAAAGACAGGACTGCAGGTGAACATAGACAAGACGGAGGTCATGAAAATAACCAACCAACAACAACAACAACAGCAACATCCAGCGCCAATCACCATCAACGAGAGGGATTTGAAAGAGGTTACTTCATTCACTTATCTAGAGAGAATTGTCTCAACTACAGGAGGAACGGACGAGGATGTCAAATCGAGCGAGAATCGGAAAGGCGAGAAACACATTCATCAACCTGAAACCAATCTGGAAATCTTCGTCACTCAGTCTGCATCAACAACGAAATTCGGATTTTCAATACAAACGTCAAGTGAGTCACTTCTTCTTTACGGATCAGAAACTTGGCGGCGTGTCACAAAGAATATTTCCAACAGGTTGCAAACCTTTAACAACAGCTGTCTTCGTTCTCTTCTGAAGATCAGATGGCCGGAAAGAATCACCAACAAGAAACTATGGGAACAAACAAAACAAGAACCAATCGCTCAACAAATATGCAGGAGAAAGTGGAGATGGATTGGACACTCGCTGAGGAGGCCGCTTGGTGACATCTCACGTCAGGCCCTCGAGTGGAACCCGAAAAGGAAGCGGTGAGGGTGACATGGAGGAGATCATGTGAAGAGGAGTTGAAACAGTATGGAATAACATGGATGCAAGTGAAAAGCCCAGCAGAAAATAGAAGCAAGTGGAGACGTGTAGTTGAAACCCTATGTTCCACTAGGAACCCAAGGGTACAATAATATTAATAATATCTAATCAACTGTGACTCACAATCCTATACACCAATATTATTATAGCACTTTAGTACTTCCACTCACTGTCAAAATTTAACACACAAAAAACTGATCGTTATTGTCTACTGTAATTCTTATATATATATATATATATATATATATATATATATATATATATATATATGAGTGTATAGCTATGAAAATGAAAACATCGTAGAGAGAAATGTCTTGACTTAACTCTTTGCTTTTACTATTGAATGATTAATATTGAATTTTTACTCATATTCGATTCCCGGAGGACTCACTTGCAAGCCTCATCGGGTTCACTAGCCACTGCCAAACATAAAAAGTGAAAAGTTGGATGAAAGGCTGGTAACCACAGCCTGCAATAAAACGTCACTGCCAGAGCAGAGAACAAATATATTGGAAATTTGTAACTGAAGCCCTATGTTTTACTGGGAACGCAATCAATAAAAATAACCCATCTAAACTGGTGCAATTAAGTCACCTTCAAAAGCATATTAAGTAGTAAAAGTCTCTAAAATGAAATAAGTCATGAGTGTGATTAGTCGTTTCAACTACCACATAAAATGTCAGCCAATCCTCAAAGAAAAATGAACGAAATTGTCTTCCACAGTCAAACAGACGTCAAGAAGCAGAAAGTTGAACAAGCTTCAGTTTAGATAGGGCTAGAAGTGCATTTGTAGGTTCACAAGTGAGAGAATGTTTCCATCCTGGATTGCCAAGAAGTAGTAGTGATAATTTTATTTTCACTTTTTTCTACATACTTCCTGAATTATTTATCAGGATAATTATTAAGTTTTCAAGCTTCTCTCATACGCCTAATTACTTGCCTTCGATTTTCCTAGGTAAAATTAGGTTTTTCTGCCCTATTCCTTGAACATTTCACCAATCCTAATTTTACTGATATAGTGTGGGATGAGTCGAAATCCAAATATCGGTTTGAATATGTGCGTGTTATCATAAACATTATTGTCTAACTTCTTATCTTGTTTGCTTTTTATGCTGTATTCTAACACTGGGAGCTCCGCTTGCTGATTTTCCAATTCATAAATAAACTGAATTGCCTCTAACTTTGAGTTAACGTGTTCGAAAATCTATTTGTGTCTAGTCTTTTTAGTCATATAAATGTGTCATCTATATACTTCCCCCCCCCATACTTTGGGATAGGGCTGAACCTTCCAATCGTTAAGTTCTGCCACCTGTCCATGAATATATCTGATATGATAACGGTTACCCCCTTGGTCTGTTTGTATATTTAACCTTGTAGTGCTCTTATCATGATGCCATCTAGCTTAACTTGACAAATCAGAAATCATCTCTACAAAGTAATATAAAAACACAATGAATCTCCCTGTAATCTGCATCGTAAGTAGTCATCAAGACAGCTGCAGCTTAACAAAGATTTCCGTTAAGTTGTCATCAGCAAGCTATAAAACTTAATCGTTTTAAATGAAAACGATCGTAGAGCTGTGAAACACAAGCTCACCAAAATAACTCATCATTGATAATGTTCAATTTCCAATGAATTAACTGCCATTAAGTTCAATGTTCCTACTGTTAAACTACCAAAACTACAAATACTGAATGCTGTGTAATAAATATTCATTTCTGATTGAAAGTTAGTGCTGAAGAAACGGCAATGTGCTGTCGTATCAGTTACATAAGTTAGAAAATTTAGAAACTTCAATGGCTGACTTCACTAGATCTAAAGTCACATGGTGTAAAATTTAGTGAACGCGAAGTGAAAAGATTTCCAGATATGAAGGGGCATATTGAAGAAGTCATGTGATGGTGTTATGTTTGTCACATATACACATCATAGAAACTTTTTGTCAACTTGCTGAAAGAATATACTTTCATATGAACTGTGGTCAAGATATGACAGAATAGTTCTATAATGATTGGGCACTGAGGGAGACGTAGAAATTTGTAAAATCTCAGCGAAATGGAAATGCGTAATTCTAACCTTTCTTTCGTCAAACTGGTCCGAACTTCTTCAGGGAAATTAATCGAAATTAACATAACAGATGTTTATATATAAAACGACATCTCTTGTTTTTAAAAACTTTCTCCAATCATATGAGTCATGAAACAGTCATCGAAATATAATCAACAAAATTGTATGAGCTGTGATCAAAATATGACCTCACACTTGCAAATATTTGTCTACTTTTGTTAAACAACTTCAACAGACGACTGTCTCATAACTAATATGACTAGAGAAAGTTTTTAAAAACAAGAGATGTCCGTTTTACATATAAACCTCCGTTATGTTAATTTCGATTAATTTCCCTGAAGAAGTTCGGACCAGATTGCCGAACGAAATGTTGGACATACGCATTTTAATTTCGCTGAGATTTTACAAATATAATTTTCACGAATATACTTTCAGTATGGAAAATTTGTCTATTTTTCGATTTATTTATATTTTCTTTTTGATTATAGCTTGATTTCACACAGCACTTTTGGTACAGCTATGGAATTTTCAGCATGTGATATTGGTAGCCCAAATTTTACAGGCCGACCATTGTGCGTTGGCAGTGGATCGAACCCCGAACCATGTGCATGGCCGGCGAGAGTCCTAACCAATGTGCCATTGATGCACTGTAATCTAGACGGAATGAAATTGGCTATTTACATATTTTAAAGAGTATTTATGATGAGAGACAGGCTGAATCAGATCGTGCATTCTGAGGTGAGCATTGATTACATTTCCTTTTTATAAGCCATTCTATTTTGCTTACTTCCTTGATTATCACTTACGGTACCAGTTATGTTACATTATCATCTAGATATGTTCCATTTTTATTTTTTTGTCCTTCACGTTCCCCAGTGGAACATAGGGCTTCAAGCTAATGGCTTGAAGTTTCTGTAGCAGGGTTTATTTTACAGGATGAGGTTGCTAGCCTCATGCCCAATCTTACCTCTTCACCAGCATTATTTCTGGCTTAGCGAGGTAAAGAAGTGCGTCGACCGGGGATCGAACCCCGGACCATATGCATGGTCGGTGACCATCCTAACCGCTATGCCACCGACGCATGTCCCATTTTTATGGTGAACTGTTAGCACTTCTCACCACAAACAGTATAATATGCAAATGATAAATTGGATCGTACATATCACGAGTGCATCTCAGTAGAGCTAGCTAGAATTCGACTGGCTTGATTAGATCTAATTCACTCCGGGGACACTGCTGATGAATTTGATTTCAAACAAGAGAAACGAAAGTCCGCTGTCTATCCAGCAAGCTCTGCTGGTTAATGTCAATAACTTTCACAACCACTCATATCAATCATTATTATACCCAATTATGCTATTTTCAGAGATAGTTTAAATGTATAAATTCACCATCTTTTTTCACTAGCTGATCTTATGTTTCTACTCCGTTCTATTGAACACCATTCATTGGTTGCACCAGTGTGTGCAGTTTTCTTACTATCTCTCTAATCATCTAACCTAGACGACTTTGGTCATATTGACTACCATTTCACCAGTATGAATCCACTGTCTGGTATTTGCAACTAAAAAGTCAATAGTTAATATCGACTTTAAGTAGAATTAAGGTCATCATCTAAAATTACACAAAATCATTTAGTCCTAAACAATCTAAGTACTTTGGTGTAACTACGCTACCATATTATAATTGTGCATATATATAAATATGTGTTTGCATAAGGACTTCATTGAATAAGATTCTTAAATATTTATGTAAGTTACCTACAAATTATTTAAAATTCGCACGATTTAGGTTCTAGTGAAACAATATTCATTCATTATTCATTGTATTTGGCTATTGAACAATGACCTTGCTTGTGTGTACAAGACAGTCATGTGATATTTTGTTGGTTAGACACACATAATAAGTATATATAAGCAGATAGATTAGATAAACGTGAGTATTGTGTTTATTGACGAAAGTATCAGGTATGATTTAACTTGTAAATGTTTTATAATTGACCAGTATTTATTCACTGACTGCTTTAAATTCATGTTTCATTTTAATCAATCTGTCAATTTTGAAATATTAAGTCATGAACAGTTTACAGAAGTGAGGTGTAAGCGTTTGGAAACACAAATATTGTTGTTCATAGCAGTAAGAAATTAAGAATACGTTTGAGGTATATTTTAAAGTTGGACGTTTAGGAAAAAAAGCAGCTACTGAGGCTGGATTATATACAAAATCTTTGTACATGTCAAGATCTCCTGATCCACTAATATGTCAAAGACAATTTTTCTCTTTTCAAGTATTGGTCTGATGCTCACTGGTGACTGGCCCTATTCAAGCAGTTATCTGGAGTTCTAATGAAAAGCCGTGATCAGTAGGGTACAGCAGGTTGAAGGTGAGGCAGTAACTCATCAAAGAAGACATTGAGAAGTGGTCGCGCTATGTCATAAATTGGTAGAAGATAGAATTCATGTAACGGCCAATGCATCGGGTCTCAGTGGCTTAAGGGTCTACCAGCTTTCTCGCCTTGCAACCAGAAGGCCGTGATTTCGAACTTCGTGATGTGGGTGCGTACTGATGAAGAGTCCCCAACTAGGACTGAAGGAACAGCTATCCAGTACTCTCAGGTCTTCCAGTGTTTCTCTAACTGGTGTCATCTCATGATGAAATCCTCAAAACAGTTTTTCCATGTTGACAACAACTCAAATAATATATATATATATATATATAGAGAGAGAGAGAGAGAGAGATTCAGCTGGTCCAGTACAGCCACGTACATAGACCATACCATTTGGATATTTTCAAGGCGTACACAATAACATTTTTCAGCATATATTTTTCAAGACTGTAAATCATACCAAACAATAGCTCAGTTTTTGAGCATATTGTGCTTATACATCATTTTACCTGGATAAGGGAGTATTTCAAAGTGATTTCTAAGGCAAAGTCAAGACTTTCGAATGGTTTGACGCTATATATTTCCGTGTACAGCCGAAGCCCCTAATACAGATTAGAAAAACCCTGACCTATGTGTACAGAAGTGATTTGTACAATCCACTTTTACTACCGCAGCATTTAGTTGGTTTATTAGTTGATGTTTAATAATTTCGTATATAATCCACCTTCATTTGAATGTTTGTTTTTGTAAACTCCAAACTTTAAAGCGCAAACTTCTTCACTCTCATTTTGAGTTTCTTAATGTTATGAATGATATTTCTGATTCCAAGTGCTTCACATTTTTATGATAACAATTCGTGAACATCACATAACCCTAGGTATAATCAAATTAGGAGATTTATTCGAAATACATTACGCAATCGTAATAATTTCAATTATGTACCTGAGGATCCATTGTGAGCTTAGCATAACGATAAGGAGAGTGGTCAAGTTAAAGAATAGCTATCTAGGAGTTCGAACTGCACAATGGTATTGAACAAATATTCCTCGTTGGATGAAGGCACCTTCTATGATTGCTGTTCTCGCCTTTTAGTGCTATTTGGATAATGAATTGATAGCTCGTTAAGGTTAAGATTAAGTTTAAGTTCAGGGTGTTTTATTTTCATTGTCTTAAGTTCTCTAGTAAATAAATTACATCTTTATTTGAAAAAAAACATTGCTTTTTGTGACTGGTAGCCTCAAGGTCAGTCGTGCATTCGCACTGCTTGTAACACTATTCTCTAACTTTGCCAGTAGGTGCCGAGTATTCCAATTAAAAATAGGCGAAGTTAAATTATCATACCAAAGTCAAGGTCTTTCAAAAGTTGACCTGCAAGAACCAGTCAGATATAGGAAATGCTATGGAAGGTCATTCCAATCCAAATCAAATCATACCTGCCTCTTTGGTCTTGAAGAAGGTAGATACAATATTCTTCTGATTCTTTAGGTACTTTTATCGTAATTCTATACTGTAAAGTAGGGTTATGGCTTTCTAGACTAATGTTTAGGGTCTAGGGTTAAAGTTAGGATTACAGTTAGAGTTAAGGATAGGTTAAATAACTGTGTCAGAAATATCAATGGATCTCAAAGTACCATAATCTACAGTCACCTGGATGAGTGCTTCTGCCGCGCATGGTGTGATTTCTTCAAAGATCATCTATGCAGTGACTTAGAGACATTCTTATAATACATAAGTGACAACTATATAGCGTAATATTACGTCTGCAATATTTTTGGTGAATTTTTCAACTATTATGTAACTTTTTTGCATGTGAATTCTGATTGATTGTTCAAGGTCACTGTGATTTTGGCTATTATAGTTTAACTTTGCCTAAACATGTTATACAGAATGCAGTTAATGTGAATTTGAAACGATACAATTTGCCAGCAATACTACTGGGAATCACTCGGCTTATAAAATCTGAAAAATTTGAATGACCACAAGAGAATTGTTTATTTTGCTTACTGATATTTCCTGAAACAATAGTTGTGTGATCTTCCACTCCAAATCACAGATCAGAATATAGTCGTGATTTTCAGAAGATACCGTCCGTGTCTAACTAATTCATCCTTCTCTATCATGTGGCTCGTTTGTAATTCAGAAAGAATTCCTACTTACATCTATCCCACTTTGAATAGTATATTAGGATAAGTTAAGATTAGCTTGCAATATCCGTCAGATTCCTTACAAATGCATAATCAACCATTGTGCTTAGTGTTTAATGATAACCAGGTTGAAAAACGTTATTGAGTGGCATTCTTGAGTAGATAACTGAGGTATGAAGACCAATGCACTGGTCATTTCATGATTTGTGATTATCAATCAATTAGAATTAACATGCAAGTCGCTTCTGTTGAACAATGCTACAGACAGAAAACAGCGTGTGTGTCTTCCAGATCGATTGAGTTAATACTTGACACATACTTTCCATTGAACATTTCTGTTTTGATACTGACTGTCGTAGGAAATCATGAAAAACAAATAAACTCTTTCTATTTCACAGGTTGATCCTCTCACATGGCTAAAATTGGTCACGGTATTCAAATCGCACTTTCATGGGTTCCAGCAAGTGATGGACATGTCCCACATAATGCCATCAAGGTTGACGATCATGTCTATATAGCTCGCTGTAAACATGAAAATTACTGGATCCCTGGGAAAGTTGTTCCAGGACATAATTCAGCTTACTATGGAAACGGTAAAGCTGAAATAAGCTGCAAACAATATGAAGTCTTGTGTGACAGTAGTTTCTCAGATACAAAAAAGTGGTAAATTTCTTAATATCTGAAGCCTATCCAACACAATTTATATATATACATATACAGATATATATATACACATATATATACACATATATATACATACTTATGAAAATAACCAACCAACAACAACAACAGCAACATGCAGCGCCAATCACCATCAACGGGAAGGATTTGAAAGAGGTTACTTCATTCACTTATCTAGGGACCATTGTCTCAACCACAGGAGGAACGGACGAGGATGTCAAATCGAGAATCGGGAAGGCGAGAGACACATTCATCAGCCTGAAACCAATCTGGAAATCTTCGTCACTCAGTATCAACAACAAAATTCGGATTTTCAATACAAACGTCAAGTCAGTTCTTCTTTACGGATCAGAAACTTGGCGGGTCACCAAGAATATTTTCAACAGGCTGCAGACCTTTATCAACAACTGTCTTCGTTCTATACTGAAGATTACATGGCCGAAAAGAATCACAAACAAGAAGCTATGGGTACAAACAAAACAGGAACCAATCGCCCAAGAAATATGCAGGAGAAAGTGGAGATGGATTGGACACTCCCTGAGGAGGCCGCTGGGCGACATCGTGCATCAGGCCAGTGCTCGAGTGGAACCCGAAAGGGAAGCGGCGAGTGAGACGTCCAAGGGTGATATGGAGGAGATCGTGTGAAGAAGAGTTGAAACAGTATGGAATAACATGGATGCAGGTGGAAAGTACAGCAGAAGACAGAAGCAAGTGGAGGCGTGCAGTTGAAGCCCCATGTTGCACTAGGAACCCAAGGGAACAATAATAATAATACATATTAACTTGGGGAGGGGGAATGTTCTGAAAATATACATTTGAAGAGTGTCACAGCACGTAAAATATCCTTCAGGTCAAACTTATGAAGATGACACCGCCACCCATAATCCCACTTCACTTTCAATAATCACATATTATACCAATAAAAGTCTGTCAGTCTAAGGATATTTCAGACACTTTCGCCGTCAATTAACAACTAGGTTGTCGTCTTTGGACCCAGTATAATTACTGTCGACATTAGAAGACTTAGGTAGGCAGCTAGTTTGATTCTGAGTGGATTGTAAAATACCATTCATCCACATCAAATCCAGGCATTAATTTTGGTGAGTGCAGTGAAATAATGACCTGGTTAAAAGTCAGATTCTTGTAGCTCAAGTAGTGAAGTGTCGGACTGCCTTCACAAATTTGCCAAATACTAAGGTCAGAGGCGAATATTCGAACTGATTCTGAATTAACTAATTCATACTTCATTTGAAATGTCACTGAAGTAGTGGAAAGACCGTCTGTATGTTCCCATGATTTCATCATTCACAATTATCTTTTGCTGGCCGACACTTAAAATAGTTAGAAGACAAACTGAAAATAGTGAAAAAAGACGGAAACTCTTGTTGTTGGAAACATGTGCGTCCTACTGACGAATAAATCATTAGACGATGCACTGCAAGGTGTATCCAGCTTAGAAGGCTTTTGAGATACCGGAAACCTTCGATCCTAGTAGCAACTGTGAGGAGGATACAGTTTATAAAAGAGGAATATATAGAGTGGGACATTTTTGTAGCTGGATCGATTACATCCAATTTACGGTGTTCTGTTGCTACTCTGAAATGAGAAAAAGAAAGCATGTTAGCACCAGAGAGAAAAATTCTACACCCAAAAACTTATCAGAAGCAGGATGAATGCAAACGACGCATATTATAGACCATAAATATCAGGACAAACGCTTGTCTTACTGACTATTAAGATGGCACTTTCATACCACTGAAAGCAGACAGAAGACAAAATGAAAGAAATGAATAACAGATAATCTTGGTGTGGAAAACATTGTCATCCTACTGATAAGTAAATGACTCAACTATTCACCTGTGTTAACTGCTTACATAGAACACTCTGGCCAGCAGAACCGTCATCTTCCGTATCTATCAAATTTATGAGATTAACTGAATGTCATGTTGTTTTGTATGCTGCAAGTGATGTAGAGCAACACAAGCGACTGTCCTTCATAAAATGACTTGTAGTTTTGATGATGTCAGAAGTCTTCTGGGGTCACTTCTTACTTCATTCATCTAGTATGTGACAAATAAGAAGGTTTTGACACTTGTTTGACCCCTAGATATGTATTTGCTACTGATCTTTTCTTTCTTTCTTGTTTACATTTATTGATTTCTATGAATAGTTATGAGTGGGAACCAGACAGTGATGGAAAAGTGCCCAAAAATGCTATAGTTGCGGGAATGGCGGGTGATACACCAATATATATTGCTAAAGCTTCCGTCAACGGAGAAGTGTGTATTGGTAAAGTGAGTTTACGCAATGAATTTTAAATTATATGTAACTCTCCTTTCCTTTGAAATGTTTTCCAGAAACATGTGTTAATGACGCCATCACTGATGGAATATTTTAGAAATATTATATATATATAATATTTGTTTCTCCCCCTTGGTAATCAGGTTCCCTTGAGCATCTTTTATTGATTTCATCATCTGGGTGTATGTCTTCCCTGATGCGAGCTGCTTGGTTATCTGATATAACGTCCGCAGGTCTCTTTTACTTGTGGTCTGCCTGTTCTGATTCAGTTGCCAGTGTGTCGTAGAATTGTCTTTTGTCCTTCCTATCACTCTTCTTCTTCACTTCTTTATTCAGTGCGATGTACACTGAACTCAGCTTCTCCTTCTGTTGCCCATCATTTCATTGATTCATTTTCCCTTTCACCATCCTCCTCTCCTCGCTTCTATAACCTTCCAGGTAGGTGTCCGTTGAGAGCCATTCCTTGTCTTGTCTCTTCTTTCTTCCTAGAACAGTTGTTCATGTTTCCTTGAAAGACAAATCATGTTCTGATCGAATTGCAGCCCTATGCATTGCCATCGAACAAAGCATAGAATGGTAGTCAAATCTCTGCTTCAACTTCATCGACTTCGAAAGGCCTTCAACAGCGTTGACCGAAACGTAATTTGGAAGCTACTTCAACACAACCTTCGCTGCATGCTGAAGATCAAATGGCCAGAAAGAATTGGTAACAAGAAACTGCTGGAACGAATCAATAAAGAGCCAATCGCTCATAGGTAGGAGATAATGGAGATGGGTTGGGTATACATTGATGAGACCGTCACATGATATCACGCATGGTGTGGGCCGTTGCTGGAGTAGAATTCAAATGGGAAGCGACGAGTGGTTGGTTGGTGTGAGGGCAACATGTAGGAGATAATGCGAGGAAGAAATGAGAGAGTCTGAGCAGTCGTGGACCCAGCTGTAGAGGATAGCAGAAAAAAGAAGCAAGTGGAGATGTGTTGTTGAAGCCTTATGATCTACTCGGAACCCAAGGGAACAATAAATAATGATAAATATAATATATGAAAATCACGAACCGGCAGAGTTTGGAATTCATAGATTATTTAATCCATTGGATCCACTGTCTGAATTGTCTACGAGCTGACGTAATCCTGGGTCCAAACTTCGATAAGCGCGTAATACTGAACAGTCTCGATGCAAGACGAAACAACTGCCCAATAAGGTTTGTAAATTTTAAAGATGAGTTTTATTATAAGCAAATCAGATATTTCGGTTTCATAATTCCTATTTATTCCTTCGATTCCCCAATAAGTAAGCTTAATAGAAACCATTTGCTAATCTCTCCTGATCAATGTCTCTGTAATTTTATTCTCCCTTAATTTTTACTTCTAACCTCGAACTGAAAAACGTGTTTTTTAAACCAAGCCTTTCTGATGGAACTCTGAGTGGAAAGTTTCTATTTTACAACTGATTTTCATATAGTCCTACTGATAAGTGAACATAGCATATTCCTCTCTCTGCAGAAAGGCTAAAAACAATAATAGTCCGCTATCTCCAAGCACTTACATCATCAGGCTTAACTCTAACATACATAACTTTACAAATATAATTTCAAATATAAACCAATCATGGTGTTTTGTCCATAGGATAATTAGATGGTGAGTACAAATTGTGCAATTAGTCACAGTAGTAGTAATGATGATAATAATAATGGTTTTATCAGTAACAAGGATGAAAAAGTGAGGCAATCTGTGATAACACGAATGACGAAAAACAGCATGATTAAACAATTAAATGTTCAGGTAGGCATAGTAGTCGATAAAGGCTAAGAAACACAAATGAACCGATTAAGTAATGCTAAATTGTAAGGGAAGTAAATGAAATACGTCTTTAATGAAGATGTGAAAAGACTAAGCAATGATGATAAGAGAGGGGTTGAAAATATAAGTAAGGGGTAGTGTAGAAATCATCAGTTGGTTATGTCTTAATAGGCCAAGGGAGGGATAATGGCTGTACGAACTTCTTTCGAATGCATAGTTTAGGTTCAATAGTTCGAATGTCTATCGCCTCAGCTGTGTGCAGTAGACGAATACGAAGTCTATTGGAAAGATTCGGTGGGATACGATGAATTACTTTGAAAGGTTTCGTTTTCTCCACTACATGATCACTATCAACTAAATGTGACAAAATTGAGCTACGGATCGTTTTTGCCTCTCCTTTGCCAAACCAAGATGGGAGATGTTCACTAACACGTTGGCTAAGCTGTCTAGTAGTACGCCCAATATAACTGTCACCGCAGGTGCAGTTGAATTGATAAATGCACATAGATGTGGCGAAACTATCCAACTTATCCCTCGTTTGCATCCCAATCATTCGTCGGCTAGGAAATGACAAATATAGGTATTCTGCGTAAAACGTTCTCCGTATACTCCTGGAAAGTCTCTGGAATAAAACCTCACTTAACAAGTCACCATTAAATTGTAACTTAATAAATAGAGGCTTTTTACATGCAATTATAGTCTTAGGTTTTTTCATATTCAACATCTTATTAACCTATAGACAAAACACCATGATTGGTTTATATTTGAATTTTTATTAGTAAAGTTATGTATATTAGAGTTAAGCCTGATGAGATCTAATTGAAAACACAATATTGTTCGCTTAAATGTGTTGTTCTAAATTTTACTATGGGAATATTTAATGTATGTCTAAATTTTTCAGCAGTTAAAAAATAATGAGTTAGTGGTTGAAAAAAGTGGAATCTGACTATAAAAAAATCATTTTGAGACTTTGTATACGTCATCAGACTCACCAATAAACAACAACGCTTATCTCGCAAAATAAGTAAAACATCATTCATCTTTTACAAACTTTTGTATTCTGTACACGATATTTCCTATGAGGTGAATAGTGACAGTTGGGCTAACATTAGTTGACGCGACAAGTATGATTCTAGACGAATTTAATCATTCAAATTATTGATTTGTGATCTTCCTTATCTTTTTTATGATATGAGAATACTCTTAAACACTTGTCATATTTAATTTATTTTCGAGACTGAAATGTTTTCCATCTGTTGTCTACATTCAGGTTCACGACGGCCATAAATGTGCCCATCTACCTTGGGGACGTGAAGAACACGAAGTGCATGAATATGAAGTATTGGTTTTCAAAAAAAAATGAACTGAATACTTAAGACTGAGAAATTCAAATAGTTTCCTTATCTATTATTGTTAATAAGAAAGAGACTGAACAGCTTTTTGAAGTACCCAATAAGCTGATTATTTTTTCTCTCAATAAATATTTCAAAAAATTATAATTTCGTTAATTGTTTTTCACAAGTTGAAGTGGATTTTAATGTACAAATGTTGTTTAAGAAGTTCGAGTGTCCTCTTGGCTGTGTAGTTTAGTGGTGAATCTTTCGTTGCCACTCTAGGAAATATCTTCATTGCCTATTTCAACTTTCGGAATTCTGCATGGATCAAATATCCGCCTTTTCTGGTGAAGTTACCTGTTTAGTTTTCCTTATGAATGCGGCCAATTGTATGACTACTGATTGTACTGCTGACTTGACCTTGGACCTTTTGTCTATATAACTTACTTTTCGTTAACCCTTAAGTTTTGTCTAAATCAACAAGTGAATCTACGCTGAGACTGTTTGGGAAGATGTCGTCCATATGCCAACATAGTCACTTTATTCAATAGTTTTTAAACCAAAAGACTCATTAGTAAAAGAAGACAACATCAACTTCTTCTATAAAATAGATTGTATCAACTATGCAAAATATTATATTGGCTAAATCGGACGTCGTCTTTGTCTTCACAATTATCGCCACCAGCTAGTACTTCAAAACTATGACAAACATGCATTCATATCAACTCATGGGGACCAATATTGACACTATTTCAACTGGAGAAATGTAAAAGTCATAGAAGATATTTAGAAATGTCAATGACTTTCTAGACGTTTCGTTTTCAAATCAATTTTTACAAATTACAGACAAGTTGATACAGATGAAACGTATCATGGAAACAAAAGGTTAGGTTAACTTCAGGGTCAATTACACAATTCAAATGAATACAAGTTACTAGAACTATAAGAAAATCTTTGTGGACAATCAGATATAATTAATGTCACCAGGAAAGACGGATATTTCATTTAGGCATAATTCTGAAAAATCATTTCACAGTAAATTGGGCACTGAAGATGTTGTCTACAGGGGCAATGAAAACTGTTGTATTCAGCTATTGGAATAAAGCTAGTGAGCTCAACTGCATTTTCAAGTTAAACATTAGGTCTTAGTCTCCAGAATACATTTTTATACCCATGTATTGTATAAGACCAGTTTTTACATTAAAATACTAACTTTGTCCCTTTTCTCAAGTAGCTAAATCAAAGTACACATGAACTGTATAACTTTTGAGGAAATGGATCACTGACCAGTCTTGTCAGACTTTTTACATGAATAAGATAGCACTTCCAGGAGTGAAATGCCCACCTCTATATCCATTAAAAAATATTATCCGGCTGAAATTAGTTGAAACGTCACAGGATTGTACTACCTTGATCTGTACTACAGACTGATTGTATTTACGCAGAATAAAATATTATTTCCGAAAATTTAACATGTACAGATATGGATATCATACAACTGGTTCCCTTTATTAGTCTGAATAAAGGAAGAACGAACGTTTGTAATTAATAGTGTTCTATGAGCTGGTTGGTTTAGTTGCAGAGCTTCCATCGTCCTTCTCGACAACATCCCCTTTCAGCGCAATATTTAGCATAAAGTGAAATGATTTAAATTTCTTCATGAGTGATATAATTGCGTCTCCCAGTAACCATCTTTACATATGTACTGATCATTATCTATTGAATTGGATTTTAAACTTTCTGGTCACCTGATTTACTTTTTATTAGTTGGTATATTTGGTCTATGTTAACGTGTTTGTTAATTGCATATTCGTTTGAGTACCAGGCTTCTAAGAATTCACTGACTGCACTTTTGGTGTTTCCTCTGTCTAAGATTTCGACATTATCCCAATCAAACTGATGCCCATAATTGTCTGTATGCATTGATTTGGAAGAATGTATATCGTATCTCTTCACGGCTGATTTGTGTTCTTAGATTCTAATTCGAAGGGGACGCCCACTTTGGCCGATGTAATGCCTGTTACAGTTCATACAATTTATTTTGTAAATGGTATTAATTTTATCATCTTTTTCTGTTGGATCTTTCGGTTTGCATAATATCGTATTAAACGATTTAACTGGCTTGTGTGCTATATCTATATCAAACGGTTTCAATATTCTAGCTGTTATTTCAAAGATATTTTTCATGTATGGTAGAATGAATTTTCCTGTGGTCTTTGATGATGGTTCTTTGTTGCTGTTGTGATTCGACTTTAAACACTTTTTGATGAAATTTTGGGGATAACCATTCTTTTTGAAGACCGTTTGTAGGTACTTTTCTTCCATTCTTTTCAACTCTGGAGTGATACAATGTGTTTGAATTCTTTTAAACAATGTCTGCACACAGTTTCGTTTGTGAAGAACGAACATATCTGCAGGATAATACGAGCTCGTTTTATTTCGATGGATTCTCTTTAACTGCGTACATCCTACACAAAACCAAACATAACTTGTAAAATTTCTGAAAATATTCAAATATGAATATATGAATATGTATCTACCTGTTGCAAACTGAACAAACATAATTTTTCATTAGAATCATTTTATTTAAAACTTGTCCAAACAGAACATTTTAACCGGTACTCTTGTACAGGTGTTTAGGTTATTCATTAAGAAATTAAATAATCAAGCAGTGAAAAAGTATGGTGATGTTTAGTATAAGAAGGAAAGTACGTCACTGGGACGAATTGCATATTTTAGCACAACATATAACAATAAAATAGGTGAGAAAGTTGTTTAACGTAGATTCAAAATAAGAATAGTTTGCCTGTAGACTGGATACTGACAGTTACAAATAGTAACAACTAAATCAATGAGGAATCACTTCACTTCACCTTGCTACAGGATTTCTTTCTACGATTGTATGGTTTATAATTAAAGGTGATTCATGTTTAAATTTGGGCTCATCAAACTCCTACCATTCAGCTATTTGTTTGTTATTCTACCTTTCATCATGTCCCTCAGACTAACTTCATTAAACTACTATTCGTATAAGCGCACTCATGCAAATCTGTTTACTTTATAAGCTGTGATAAAATAGGATTGAAGTGTAAGAGAATATTCTTCACGAGCAGATAGTGGAAAGAACTATAGAAAACTATTAAGAACAAAGCATATTTCCATTCTTATTTGGGATTTCGTGGCACAGTGTAACCATCATACTGTTTTATTAATGAGTACCTGTCTTCACAGTCGGCTTCCTGGTCCTCAGCAGTAATAAATTCCCACTAGGCCTATCGAAGATCCGCTTTGAAGCTAACCACTGATGAGCACTGGATAATCATTGAAATGCTAAATTTTGGAGACAACTAAGTAACTTCAGAGTTGAACTTCTGACTTAAAATTGGTGGGTCAACCAATTTACTTGTCTGCGCAGATACAAACTGATGATATTCTACGGCAATATTACCCCCATCGCGAAATAAAAGAAGCTATAATTTATGGACTAACGGAATCGAGTGGTAAATCATTAACTTAGTGACCTGAATGTTCTAGGTTGCGGCTATGGATGAGTATAGGTTGAGCGACCTCCGCTATGACAAAAACGCTGTCTTCCCCTTCATGGCTTTCTTTAGGATGATTCAAAGGATATTCACATTAAAATTAATCAGATCCCGCAATAGCTTTATTCTAAAAAGTAATTTTGGAATTTTAGACACGTATATAATATTGCATCTAATTTTTTCATTACGGAATACAATGGTAATAATTTAACAGGGAATTTACATTGATATTATTGCCAAATAAGAAAATGAACACAGAATATTAACAAAAGTAATAATAATGAAAAAAAAGAATAAAAACAGGAGTTTGCTACCTAATGTTCCTCGGTAAGTGAGTCGTTGAATCGCTAACACACTTTTCTCACCCCACAAAACGTATTGTAGACTTTTTATACTTAGTCATCCGAGCATAAGGTCTTCTATGGTTGCTCCTATTTCTACCTAATGGGATACAACGAGAAAATGATGTATAGAGAGGGTGCTGAGGGTTCAGTTAGAAATTACTCGCTAATTTCGTACGTGAGTCCGTGTGTCTATCTACAGCAGTATAAACAAGTTGATTTAGCGACACCCCACTAGCTCTACTGACAACTTTTAGTACCCTTCTCAGTGTAAGAAAGTCTTTTTAAGTAGCCCAGGAAAGATTAAGGAGGAAAAATAAAAAGAATGATGGGTAGAATGCAAGAATTAATAGACTGTAAAAATGAGGATTGAGTGTTACCAGATTGTTGTAACTTCCTTACGTAGAACTTTAAACGAAATCTTTTTGTTCCTTTACGTTCCCAGTGGAACGTAGGGCTTCAAGCTAGAGGCTTGAAGTTTCAGTAGCAGTGGAATTTATTTTTACTGGATGGGGTTGCTATCCTCATGCCTAGACCAAACTTCCCTCTTTACCAGTCTTATTATTGGCTTGGCGAGGAAAATGAGTGCGTCTGTCGCCGGGAATTCAACCTCGAACCACCTGCATGGTTGGCGAGCATATTACCGTTGTGCTACCGACGCACAATACACCAATAGATAGCCGATATCTTTTAAAGTTTAAGAATAAGATCAGAGGAAATACACAATTCAAGGTATTTAACATTCAACTCAGTTTCAGATTCAGGGCTATATATGACAGCAGAACCATGCAAACGAACCACTTCATTTAAGTGGTGCTTGTGTGCAAAAGTGAAATTAACAACCTGACATTGATGGGATTTAGCTTAAGATCACTTATATTTTCTGTAGTGATGATGAGTGGCCTTAAGTATATGAACTTAACATGTACTTCACATGTTATTTAGTAAACTTCTGAACAAGTTAATTTGATGTCTTTAATAGATAACAAAGGACAAAAAGACAAATGTTGCAAATACAATTCATTTGTTTGACAGGAGAAAAGAGATAAATTCAACAAAGGTTTATCGACTAGTATAGTTTCAACACTATTCAGAACTTTTATGTTAGGATTTAAATTTGTAAGTAAAATATCCGTGATGTGTGGTACATTGAATCAGTATACTAAATCTTCGTGACTGGTCGAAATCTGTCATTCAACATACATAGTACTTAACGAATAGATTATACGTTTACCGTAAAATAGTAAAAGTAGGGAACTCACAGAAAATTATGGTTGTT